ATACGCGGCAATTAAAAAGCGAAGAATTTTAAGCCGCGGAAGTGGGACACAGCCGATGCCCTTGGGTATAGCGAATTTTCTTGATTTCTTCCCTACCCCTACCCCCCTCTCCGGTAAACGGTATTTCGATTATTTCTTCGGGGATTTGGGATTTTAAGACCAAAACGATCGGGAATCCAGGCGGGCTCGCGGGTTGTGGGGATCTGGTGGCTGGTGTGGTCCGTGCCAAGACCGGAGCAGTGCTGCAGTGCCAGCTTTTGTCGTTATAAAACGTGCTGGCGCCAAGTTACCGACCGCTCGGTGGAGGATTTCGGCACATTGCCGTGCGATATTCTCTCCCTGAAACAGCAGATGGAGAAGTAAGGGTCCTAAAATAGATCCACTTTCTTCTCTGGGGTTGCTTTGTCTTGCTTTGTTCTGCTTGAATCGGCTGCGGGGCTACTGGTGCAGTGTATCTCTTTGTTAGAAATCCGCACCAGATTTCATTAAGAAGTGTAAACAATTAGCAGCGCTGATCCTTTCGAAGGGCTGAACGTTTAACAATAAATTAAGCAGATCTGGGGCGCCTTTGCGCTGGGGCTATTTTTTGCTGTGTAATTCATAACGTCATTGTCTTAATAAAATGTCTTCGTGTTTGGGAGCGGTGGCTTAAATGATGGAATGTGATGTAAGAGTATGAAATGACTATATAAAGTACTAAGCTATATGAAGACTATCGCTGGTGGGACTAAATTTACATGAAATGTCGTCTTTGCTGGATGGAATTGCTGTGAATGCAAACGCAATTAAAACGTGGTGCTGCATGCCAAGCATTAATCTTCTGCTCCAGGTGCTCTCAGAATTCCACAGCGTTGGCTCACTTCGACTCCCGAATCTGTATGAAAATGTCGATTTTGTGCTAGAATTCCAATGTTGCTGTTCAGTGAGCGTTCCCTATAGCTGTGTTACCTGAGCCGGTGTTTCCTGGTGTCCCGTGGAACATGAAGCAGATGGCGATGACGCCGGAGGAGATCTACCCGTGAGGATGCGGCGGCTGGCGCTGAGATGAGTCTGGGCTTGGAGCAGTGCTGAGAGGGCTTGGGGAGAGGATTGTAGTGGAGCTCCATCCCCATTCCACTCCTAGCAGCTCTCTGGCCATCCACCTCCGTTTCTGCCAGCTGGAACGGACCGAGAACCTTGCCAACTGCCCCAGGCCTCCACTTGAGCTCGTTTAGGGAGAGGCAGGTGTGGCTGGGCTAGGAAAAAACTGGAGCAGAGCTGAGATAACTACAATGCCAGCGCAGCTCCTGTAGTTTTCTGTTGCAGCCACCCTCTTCAAACTGCATCCCCTCCTCTGCTTCCTCCCGTTCCTGCCCGCATGTCCTCTATAAATCAGGACATTTTGGGAGGGTCAGGACAGAGGAAGAAGTAGGAGGGGATCTGAAGCACCTACTGGGGAAATGCAGATAATTTTTTTTAACGGTTAACTTGGAACAAATGTGTGTATTTGAGTGTTGAAAGCGAGTACTTAACAGTGAATTTCCCAGCGAGAACAGAATTGCAGCACAGAGATGGGATTGCATGACAACGGGTTTGAATTTGTACTGTATGTCTGGAAAACTTGGACAGAGTGAAACTAGTCTGTAACATATTATAATGTAAATTTTAGTAAAATCGCCTGTAACACCAATTCTAGATGCTTTTTTTTTATCTGCGTAGTCCCTTTAAAAATTATTTCTTTTCATTAGCACCTGTCCTAGAATTTGACTATCTCATCTGTGGAGACTGTGGCAAAGAATTCATGGACTCCTACCTTATGCAGCACTTTGATTGGGCAACATGTGATAATTGCAGGTATTGCAAATAATCAGAAGAGGGAAGCATTATTTTGCATAAACACTGCTGGCTATAACTCAGTCATTGTGCTTAATTAGAAAGGCTGTCAGCAAAGAGATATATTGCAATAACTTAAAACTTGCTTCCATTTACTTCTGTAAATGGAAGTTGACTGATCAGGTCAACTTACCAGTCCATAATTTTCCATTATGGAATTGAGTCACACACAGCATTGTCTCCTAAGCTTGTGTGATGGTGTGAGGGCAGTTGGTGTTTGTTAGTGGGAAAATTTTGTGCCTGGCTGCAGATTAGAGCTATTTGGAAACCTGATGGAACATGGGGTATCTGCTTTCTGAGGCAGAGCAGGGATTAGGAGAGTGTTTGCAGTCCTGCTGGTTTAGCCCCACTGAAGTCAGTACTTTGGCCAGCACTAGTGGACTGGGACAGTGGCAGCCAAAGGGCAGAACCCCCGGGGGGGTGCCTGGTCGGTTTGGGGCGTAAGCAGGAGTTTGACCTTGAGAGGTCTGCACTCTTTAGCACACAAAATGCTCCGCAAGCCATCAAGATAACCAGGGCAACGCAGCCGGCTCTGAAGCAGCCACCCATGAGTGTGCAAGAATGAATTGGATGAATGAAAAAAACGTGCAGCCAGGAGTTCTGGGAGTGTTCCCATTTACTGCAGGGAGTGGTTGGGGCGTGCACGTGGTGCGGACAGTTCACAGGCATTAGAGGCAAAGTGCTGTCTCTTGGCAGTTACAGGGGGTAGGAAAATAATGTTGTGGACAGGACAGGTAGCCTTGGGAGGAGTTTTCCTTCAATCTAAGCTCTTGCAGCTAAACGTTAGTGTGTCCTTGGTGCATTGGGTGTTGCTGTGAACTTTGAATTCTAGTAAAGCTGCATTTGCAGCACTACTTCCTTGATGACCGTTGTTAGCACTTAGTGTTTGGCAGATGGTTCCGGCTCCAGCAATTTGAGTTGTACTTCAGTCAGGATTGCGCAAAAGTAATTTTTTCCATTAACTCATAAATGCTGGTGTGGTCACACAGCTTTTCATTATCTGTCTGGTAAAAGCTGCAATCTTTTAAGGCCTTTATGGTTCCTCTGCCGATGGTCTTGCATTATAGAAGCAAGTACCCTGTCTGTGTTGCTAATCAGTTACTGGGATCTAGCAGCATATGGAGTGTGTATATTCTCAGGTGATCTGACCTGTCTCGCTTTACACATTCTTTCTCTCTTGACCATGTGTGAGGCTTATACTTCTGTCGTCTTGGCTTGCATCTGGGTTAGGTGAATACCTAAAATGATTCATACAGATTTTAAGTTTAAGTTATTCCCTCTTGTAAGAAAATAGGAATAAAAGCCTTTCTAGAAGAACAGGCTTCTCAGCCTGTGTTTGCTCAAATGGGAGAATTCTTAAGCACTTCAGTGAACCTAGCCTGGAGTTTAGCTAGATTCTTGGGATTCAAAGTTATTTCCATGCATAAAAACAGGGGTTTGGGCTACCTGTATTTCAGGAATGTTGAAAGAGATGGGGACTTAGATATTATTAACCTGTGGTTTTAGGGTGTAGCTTTCTCATAATTATTTTACGTCTTCCAGAGATGTTGAAGATAAACATAAGCTTATTACAAGGACAGAAGCAAAAGAAGAGTATCTCCTTAAAGACTGTGACTTAGACAAGAGGGAACCAGTGCTCAGATTCATTGTGAAGAAAAACCCTCATAATTCACGATGGGGTGAAATGAAACTTTATTTAAAACTACAGGTATAGAAACTTCCTGTATTTCAGACCTCTTTTTACCTTTGTATAACTTTGGTAGCCAAATGGTGTCACTTCATACCTGAATGATGTTGTCAAAGCTAAGTGTTAAGCATAGCTTGTTACAGTTAAATGGTGGTGGTCCCAGTTTGTGAAAATGTCTGTGTTTGAGAGCATTTTAAAGACATTCATGGAGCACAACTTCAGGGTTTTGCACAATTACAAATCAGAAAGCCACACGGCTTTCCAGTGGTACTCTGAAAAGCCTGGGACAGCTGCTGATGCGTGCAGCCTTTGTGCCTGTGTTCACAGCTCTGCCCTCAGAGGCAGCAGGAAAGGCAAGTACATTTTACAGAGTTCTTGTCGTTTCTTGTTTGCTGCTTTTATCGGAATGCTGCTGCTTTAGTGAAATGAGTGCAGAATTGGAGCTGGGTTTAACTTCCCAAGTTAGATGTAGGTGATACTAAAAGTCAGTGTTGCCACTTATGCCAAAAGAATGCTGTGTTTGTGGGTCCAGGAGCAGACAGATGGGAGGCAGAGGAAGATTGAATTGGCTTATGTATAT